GAAACTGCCAGGATGAGTTCTCTTGGATTAGAAGTTGTCATCACAGTTTAGTTGTAGCCCAAGCAACTATTAAAGCGTCAAAGTTTACTACGTGTGTACTGTGTAGGGATTTTAAAACCTGCATTTTCCATTTACGTTTTCTAGAATCCAGAAAGATAACCCGTAGCAATCGATTATTGTGGCTAGCTTCGGTGGACATCCTTGTTCAATTGATGTTACTGATGTCTTGGGTTGACTACCTGGAAATTTGGGCAGGCCCGGAGATTGTGGCCCCGTTTGGTAAAGCTTCTACTGGCTTCATCTTCTCTAACGTATGTATTGTTCACATGCATCTAAGAGAGCTAGTGGAGTCAAAAAATTTTTTTCTTCACCGGCTCCGTGAGAGGATAGGAGAGAGAAAAAGTTCATGTAAACAGCATGTGTGAGAGAAACTAGAGTCCGTGGGAGTTTTACCAAATGGGAGCTGGATTTCGAGTTGATGGCTTCTTCAACATATAGAAAGTGTAAATTCAGTGAACACTCAACAACTTTTTTTTTTAAACCGTGGACACTGAACAATTTAACTTGCACATCAGGCCGTGAGAGAATCGCTAGAGATCCAGTGGCCAATGCAGCAAGCAGAGCTCGGCCGGCCCATCAGCGGAGCCCGAGGGATGTGTGCAAATCTGTGAGTTCTCCAGCCCATGTGCCGTGCACACCGCACCGACGCCGGCCTGCTCGGGTTCCTGCCTCCTGCGGTCCTGCCTCCTGATTAGGCTCGGCTACACTGGCGCGGCCTCCTGGCACACGTTGCACTGTTGCAGTCAACAGAGGCGCATTCTTCTAAAAAAAAAAAGTCAACAGAGGCGCATGTTTCATATTACTTGTTGCGGTGGGATTTAATGGGCTGGATTTAATTAGGATTGACCCATTTTTATACTTAATTAAATCAAATTATTCTAAGACTCTAAATGATAGGTCCAATATCGGTACCTTAAAATTTATAAAGGATGAGTTTAAAAATTAATTATTGTGCATATTTGTGAGGTTAAAAGAGGCGGATAGGGCGAACTGAGCGTAGCTTATCCGATTAGGTTCCTTGTGGTGGAACCTGGTCAAGTCGGGGATGCTCGTATTTTTCTGGATTTATTTCAGAATTTAACGGTGTTATTTTTTCGGTGGTAGGTGACTTAATTCTTCGGAGATACTTATAGGGGTAGGGTGCGTGTGTGTCTTCGTAGGAGTGAGTGTACGCTCGTGTATGTGAATGTCTGCGTCTGTAACTGGGTCTTGTTCAAAAAAAGGAGACAGACAGGAACGAACACTCAAGATATATGACGATAAAAAGAGGCCTCAAAGGGCACCGAAAAAAAATGGAAGGATGGAAATTTTATTATTTTTTACCTAAGGAGACTCGCACGAGGAAAGAAGACGTGCGGGGAGGCGAAGCAGAGGCTACACAAACCTAAATTATTTTAGTTAGAGCCTGCATGTTCTTTTTCTATGCACGGTTGTGGATGAATGCGGGAGGCGACGGACAAAAAGTAGGATGGAGAGAAAATTTTCTCTTTAATATTATTATTAGGTATAAATATAGGTATTGTATGTAGATTTTAGCTATGTTCTAACCATGCAAGTGAAAATAAGTTTATAGAAATATATATAAAATTAGCATATACAATACCATGTAAGTGCACTCTAAAACATATTGCACGGATAGAAGCTAGGAGTATTTTGGTGTTGTAAGAGTTGGTCAACATTAGAGAATTTTGACTTACCAAAGTGATTTATAATTTTGAAGGTCCCGATTGGATCCTTGAAATTGAATTTATTTTAATAATTACAATTTAGACACATATTAAGTTGATATGGATGTATATGGATTATATTTATATATTATTGTTGGCTATAAGATAGAGATACTTATGTATTGCATTTCTACCGTAGGGGAATGAGTTGAAGAGCATGTTATAAGTTGCGAAGTAGAACATAGGATGATAATAGAATCAATTTTCATCTCTCACCCTATGAATTTGAGATAGGTTTATATGTGAATTTTGGAAAATGGTGGAATATCAAATTCGAAGCCAAATAGTCTAATTTATTAAATCGATTTCGATTCTAGATGATTCACCGGGGTCCACGAGCAATTCAGCTCTTCTCTAAAGGGAAACGTTAGCTGTAAACACTAGAGAAGGCAAAAATATATCCTTGTCGCGCTTTAACTTATATTCCCTCACTCGCCTTGTTTTTTCAACAGTGTCTCTATCGTACTACTTGTCTGCAGCTGTCACCGGCATCAGGCATCAACCAGTTCCAAATTTGCTTGTCTTATAGCTGGTAGCTTCAGCCAGAGAGGAGGCCATATTATGATATGAAACTGCAACTGACCATCCGCTATCTCATTTAGGCTGGCGGAACCTTTTTGATGGTTGGCGGGTATAAAATTGCTATCTTTTCCTCGGACCGGTTGGCCTCCATTTTAGGATAAAAAGACAAGAGGGCTGTTTTGTTTCCTTGCATTTCCTCGCTCTGCCTTTTTAGGATAAAAGACAAGAAAAAATGGCCTCGTTAAACTTGCTGAAACTTTTTTTTGAAAAAAAAATTTGGCTGAATTGTTGTGAGAGAAAAACACTGTTCCAACTGAAAAAAACAAGCTGAATAATGCGGATTATAAGGTAAGCCGAACGGGGCCTATAAAACTATATATAATGTTACTAATTGATGTCATAAATATCGTTGTTTTTTGGTATAAATTTTGTCAAACTTAGGATGTTTGAGTTAAAATAGCTCTAGAAGATGACCTACATGCAAATAGGTGCGTCCCTTTCCGAACTGCTGGCAGTTGATCTATGCTAGTAAGAAAATTCTTTGTTACCATAGGAGAGCCAATTCGGCTCACTTCAGCTGGTAAGGTCAGACTGACTCTTGCTAGTAAGATAAGACGAATCTTATCTAGCAACCGCATAGCCCCTATATATATAATATATGTTTACCGTGATATTCAAGTAAATCTTATTTTCAAGTTCATGAAAAGTTTAAGCAGAAGAAGTTTATGGGACAAAATGAAAAAACAAACAAACATCACGAATCTTGGTTGATCTCTAACGTAAACAATCATCATCTCGTTTCGAATCTTGGTCCGATCTCTTTGACGATACGTAAACGAAGCTTCGTCGTCGTTTGTTTCGTTTGATAGTGTTCAAACATGGACTAATTGCTCGCGTCGTTCGTAATTTTCTCCTCGCGCTTTGTTTACATTAGCAGTGAGCATCAGAAGCAACTTTTTGAAAATGTATTAAACAAGGGCTTAGCAGCGTGTGTATTGCACCAGTTTGTATCAGCATCGCTCAACCACCGTTCGATAGACGTGCGATGTATCTTTAATTTCTCCTTCTCGATCCTTCCTTCTTCCCGCTTTCTTTTTTCTTCCATCGATGTCTTTGCTAAATGTCATGCACCCGCACATCTATGGATCGAGCCCCACGCGTCGCAGCGTGTAACGAGGAAAACGTGCTTGCATGCACTGCAGGGAAGGGCGGTATCCGTTACATCCTAATCCTACCTCCCGGTTGGTCATGGTATGCCATATAGCCATATACGAGTTTTTATTACTAAGATAAGATGACGGTCCCTTAAACAAAGCACAGAGCGATTATGCGAAGTTGGCCACATTTCTCGTTAAGAAAACAACAATTATGTCGGAAGTTGTTGCGCAGCCTGTCGACATTTCGAGTCACTGGAACAAAGAAAACAAACAAATAAACAATAATAATGCACTACTGCAACCCCAGCATGGTCGGCACGCACTAACAGTCAGAGGCGGTCGTCCCCTTGAAGTAACACCCAACGGCGGAGCAACACCTGCAGTCCTGCTAGGCTGCTATCGTTTCGCTGCACGGCCAGTCGGCCAGCCATCGTCGACGGCGTGCGTGACGCGGAGCGGCAGCGTGAAGGTGAAGCCACCCACCGCGGCACGCCACGCGTGGGCAGCTCTGCCGGTTCGCCGCGTGCTGGAGCGGTGGCTGTAGCGTCCCGATCGAAATGCCCCGCCCTCCGACACACATCCTGATCCTTTGCCCCGCCGCCTGACGGCCCATTTCCATGTGCGTTTCGTGTGCCCCATGTGCAGCATCAGACATCGAGCCGTCTGTCCATCCAGCCCCCTTTGAAAGAGGAACGCCGCGCCGCACCGCGGTGACGTGTCTCGGGCTCTCGGCAGCCTGCCAGCCACCAGCCCGCTCCCCGCTCGCTTCCACGCGCCACCCCACCAACCGGCGCAGCGCTCTCCAAACCCAAGCCCCCGCACCGCGGAAACGCAGTAAAACTAAGTGCTTGTTTAGTTCTCAAAATTTTTAAGGTTTTTCAAGATTCTTTGTCATATTAAATTTTTGATGCATGCATGAAGCATTAAATATAAATAAAAAATAAAATTAATTACACAGTTTAGATAAAATTTACGAGACGAATCTTTTAAGTCTAATTAGACTATGATTAAACACTAATTATCAAATAACAACGAAAATACTATGTTACCATTACTCTCAAAAAATTTCGCCAACTATACGAGCCCTACGCAAAAAGCGCCGCACCCCCAGCACACACTTGACGACGCGCACTGGCTCTGCGTGCCGTTGGGGGCAGGTGGAGACTTCACGTCCCCGCCTCCGCCCACCCCCGACACGCGCACACATAAAACCCTATCGCAGTCTCGCCTGCGGCCTTCACAAACAAGCCTCGCCCACCACCCAAGTCAACTGCCTTTCCACCTCCTCGCCGTCGTCCTCGTCCCGTAGTGGCGTGACGCCTAGTCCTGGGCCTCCTACATATACACAGCAAGCCGCGCGAGGTCTCTGCAGCCAGAAACAGAGGAGGAACACGCCCGCAGAGAGACCAGGTTCCAAGCAAACGCAGACACAGGCAGGGCGAGTGGAGCTAGCGTGAGCTTGCGTTGCCTTTGCTTGTGTCGAGAGGAGAAGCAGAGCAGCGGGGTGGTGCACCTGCACGTAGCAACTCTGACCATGGCGGATCACCAGAGGATCCACCCTGTCGACCTGGAGGCCGGCAGCAATCGGCCGACGGCGCCGCTGGTGCCAGGAGGCTCGTTCCGGTCGGACAAGGGCGACCCGGCGCGGAGCGCGAACCACCAGCACCAACAACGACGACAGCAACAAGGCTACGTCCCCGGCCCCCTGCCTCCGCCGCCGCGCCGCGTCGCGCCACTGGCGCCGCCGCTGCCTCCGCCGCGGAAGCGGCGCGGCGGCCGGGGGTGCTGCTGCCGGTTCCTCTGCTGCGTGGTGATCACGGCCGTCGTGGTGGCGGTGCTGGCCGCGGCGGCGGCGGGCGCGCTGTACCTGGCGCTCGACCCCAAGGCGCCGCGCTACTCGGTGGACCGCCTCTCGGTGTCGGCGTTCCAGGTGGACCCGTCGACGCTGACGGCGCGGGCCGGGTTCGACGTGACGGTGACGGCGGCGAACCCGAACTCGCGCATCGGCATCCAGTACGAGCCCGGGTCCAGCCTGGGCGTGTGGTACCAGTCGTACCGCCTGGCGCGGGGCGCGCTGCCGGCCTTCTACCAGGGCCACCGCAACACCACGGTGCTGGCGCTCGCCATGGCCGGGGAGGTGCAGCTGGGCAGCGCCGTCGTGGCCGGATTGCAGGACGCGCAGCGGACGGGCGCCGTGCCGCTCGTGTTCCGCGCCGACGTGCCCGTGCGCGTCGAGATTGGTAACTTCAAGCTCTGGAAGGTGACGTCCAGGGTGCGCTGCGACCTCGTCGTGGACAGGCTCATGGACGTCAGTAGTCCCATCAAGATCAAGGCCAGCAACTGCAAGTTCAGCTTGAAGCTGTGATTCATAAATTCGTTGCCGCGGTTTTCTTTCTTTGGGTTGCCTGTTCTCTCTTTGGGAGAGAGAGTTCAGAGTCGTTGCGTTGGATTTTTATAATTGCTGTTCTCGTCGGTGTTCATCCCGGCCGTGTACAGATGGTAGTATATAATTGCTGTTAGAGAGGAATAATATGCATGACGAGATTTTTATAATTCTAGAGTTACTTCTATCACCACACAACTGAACGAACAAGACACAACAACCAACCAAATGGAAAATGGCTCTACTACCCTTAGTCCATTACTCGACAGGAGAGAGCGCAATGGAGCAGAAATGTCAATGTTTTAGGCCCCGTTTAGATGCAACCTAAAACCCAAAAATTTTCAAGATTTTTTGTCACATTGAATCTTGCGGCACATGCATGGAGTACTAAATGTAGACGAAAAAAAAACTAATTACACAGTTGGCCGAGAAATCGTGAGACGAATCTTTTAAGCATAAATAGTCCATAATTGAACAATTTTTGCAAATATAAACGAAAGTACTACAGTAGCCAAAAGTCAAAAAAATTTCGGAACTAAACACGCCCTTACTACAAGTAGCTTGATAACGGTATGACCAGGAATGATCCATATGCCTCATTTGCCAGAGGAGATCTTTCATGATAACGGTAGGTCCTGAATACTGACAAATGGTCATTTGCATGTGCACCAATGCTCAGCTGCTCTACCTAAAAGTGATGGTGAAGTAAAGAAACTAAATTTAAGTGATTCCTGCCACGTATCATGTACAGTATGTGCTTCAAAGTCAACACAGTTCACCTGCCCTAAGTTGCCCCAGTTGGCCACCAAGTCAGTATAATATCTGATTGATCGAGATGGTACATAACCACGATGTTTTACGGATCCGTGCGCATTCTTGCTATAGGAGTATGTCGAAGAAGCCATTAAGTCGATTTGTGCGGCTGATAAGCTGGCTAAAACTGATTTGTTATGAGAGAAAATACTATTTCATAACTGATAAGTTAGGCTAATAAGTTCAAGCAAATATGAGAGCAGTCTCTCGGCCTGCCCTCAATTCCCAGATGGTCAAACCCAGAACGTTAGTAAAACATCATCTGAACAAGGATGCCCACGTCCCACCCACCGAAGCTAACTAGAATAATCGATTGCAATGGGTTATCTTTCTGGATTCTAAAAGTTACGTAAATAGAAAATGTAGCTTATAATAATGACTTTTGCTAGAATTTATCGGTCGACAGATTTTTTTACTAGATCTGTCAGATTTTATAGAACATCACTTATATATCATGTGAACATTATAAAATACATCATAGAACATCACATATATACTATATGAACATCACATTTAATATTTGACACTCGGCCATTACAGGAGGAGCCAATATCCGAGGAATACAACTTTTTACCATACTTACGAGGTGAGTGGTATATAAAATACCATGTCAGTGACTCATGTTATGGTGTCATTCGTAAGAGTGGTAAAAAATTAAATACCCCAATATCCGAATTTAGTAACCATCATAGGACATCACTTGTATACCATGTGAACACCATAAAACATCGTAGAACATCACATGTATATTACGTGCTATTTATCTGTGATAAAATTTTCAAAACTAAATCGGTCAGTTTTCGTTGAACATCACTTGTATAGCATATGAACACCACAAAAATAAATCATAGAACATCATATATATACTATATAAACATCACATGTATTATAAAATCTGTTAAATTTGATCATGTAAAATCTGTCGAACACTCACATAATATTTTTTTTTGTCTGTCGCCTCCTGCAATCATGTATAGAAGCTCAACACTCAGACTTTGACTAAAATAATTTAGGTTTTTGTAGCCTCCCTTTCTACCTCCTGCACGTCTCCTTTCCTCGTGTGTCTCCGTGGGTAAAAAAATAATAAAATTTCCATCCTTACAGTTTTTCTATGCCCATTCAGCCTCTTTTTATCGGCATATATCATTGTGCGTCCGTCACTTTTAACCTCACAAATATGCACAATAATTAATTTTTAAACTCATCCTTTAATAAAATTTTAAGGTACCCTTATTGGACCTATCATTTAGAGTCTTCGAATAATTTGATTTAATTAAGTACAAAATGGGTTAATCCTAATTAAATCCAGCCCATTTAAATCCCACCGCAACAAGCAATATGAAACATGCGCCTCTGTTGACTGCAACAGTGCAACGTGTGCTCGGCCGTGCTAGTGTAGCCGAGCAAAATCAAGAGACAGGAGCCCGAGCAGGTCGACGACTTTGATGATCAAGCCTGAATATGGGTAGCGCTTAGCAAGGGGTGGATGAATGTTGGGATGGCCGATGTCCTTGATTTGAATCTCGGTGCGGTGTGCACGACACATGGGCTGGAATGTTAGGATTGATCTCATCCGACTTGATCCAACGATCGAGTCAGATCCTATGACTGCGTCCTGATCGGGGGCGCTCAACTGACTCCAGGTCGGCGGGCCCCTGTCACACAGCGCTATAAAAGAGAAAGGTGGGGAACGAGGTTGGCTGACGCCACTAACCCACTGACAAACCCTAGAAGGCCCCATTCCATCGTGGGCGCGCTGTAGTGACAGGAAGCACCACCAGCCGTGCCACCGTCCTTTGGATTCCACTGCTCCACACTGCGTCGCCACTGCCATGGCGACTTCTTTCTCTACCTCCTCTGCCAAGCCGAAGGTATGGGCCTCTCTCTCTCTATGTTCACATCGATGAACTATATGATGTTTATGCCAAATTAGTGAAGTCAACCCGATAGATCTACACCTAGTTGATCCTAAATTCTCTAACAATGGTATCAGAGCCGTACAAGGGTGTAGATCTAGAGTTTGGGGTAGTAAATCGAGAAGAATTTAGAAGGGGATGAATCGAATCAAAGGAATCACCCTAACCCTAAATAGCATGGACGGAGATGGAGAGGGACTCACCTAGGCTCCTCCATCGTCGTCCCACCACCGTTGTGCGGGAAGAAGGACCGTCGTCGCGCGGGCAAACCGCCATCGCACGGGCAGAAGAAATATAGCCGCCGCTCGATGCTGGGTTGCCGGCGCGCCGGCTCAGGGCGCCGATACGAGGCCACTCGACGGCGGCGTGCTCACCCACCGAGGAGCGCGTGCTCTGGCGAGGGGGCCTGCGGCGGCGCCGCACTCCTCCTCCGGCTGCTGCTCCGTCATCACCAAGAGAAGAGGTAGAAGGGAAGGAAGAGACTGAAGCTAGGTTTAAGGGGAGAACCGGCCACGACGCCATTTTGTTCACGCGACTTGCGCTGAGAGCCGTTAGATCAAGACGAACGGCCAGGATCGACCGGGCCGCCTTTCGGCCTAGGCGAGCGAAGACAATCCCGGCCTAGGCCCAGGTTGCAGCCTAGGAGCGGGGAGCGCAACGAGCACATGGGCCTTGGGCCACCTTTTTCGCTGGGCCGGATTGCACAGTAACATTTTGAATAAGTTTTATTCTTTTTCAGAAGCTCTTTTTGATGTTTTATGTCCAATTTTATCTATATTCAATTTGAACCTAAGGGAAAATTTGTCTAGAGAGTAAATGAGTATGATAAGATGCTTCTGATCAAGAATTATTATTTTTTCAAGTCCTTTCATGTTTCTGTTGCTATGAATATGTTGATCCTCTAATTAAATTGGAACCAATGGAAAAATTAAATTAGAGGAGTAGTCCATTTTTGTTTAAGTTAAATTATGGTATTGTTATTTTTCTGACCAACGTTGATGATAACAATATTATAATTTTATTTATGAGTTTAAGTTTGAAGTTTAAATCTCTGATAAATTTTGCACCAGCGTGATCAATTTTTCAGAGAGTAGATAAGAACCAAGAAATGCTCCTAAACTAGTAGAATGTATTTTATTCTTATGTTTCCGCTGCAATGATGTTGATTATCTTCTAATTAAATTTGAACCAACGGGAGAATTTAATTTTGAAGAGTAGTTATACGTTTTTCAAGTTAAGAACAATATTATAAGTTTATTCATGAGTTTTTTTTCATGCATTAATTCCATTTTTGCCCAACGGTGATGTGGAATAATTGTAGAAGAATATTGTATTTATGATATTGCTATTTTTCTGACCAAAGTTGATGATAGCAAAGTTGATGATACCAATATTATAATTTTTTATTTATGAGTTTTATGCATTAATTCTATTTTTAGCCCAACGATGATGTAGAATTAAAGTAGAAGCACCTTATATGTTTTTATTTTAACCGACGAGATCAATTAGCTGTAAGCCAATGGGCTGCTCTGCTGGACTATGTGAAGGAAAAGTTTTTACGCCGTTCTGCTTTTTGGTTGGTACGACAAATGTGAAAAGGGAACTCACTGGCCCAAAATGAGTTGAGCCAATTTAGGGCTGTTTTAGGTCAAAATGAGTTTATCAATTCTCTCACTTAAGTTTCTCCTATTGCTTAGTTTATTAATTTTTTGATTAAATTGAAACGCAAGGGAAGATTTAATTAGAAAATAAAGTATAAGTGAATGTTTTAGTCGTCATGATTAAGTTTTTGTTACTATAAATAGTATAGTTTTTCCATCATTATGATAAGAGTTGTAAGATTAAACATGTGTGTTACATAGTATTCGGATTTATTTATGAATTTAATGTCTTGAATGTTCAAACACTTCTTATGTCCTGAGAGCTAATTCCGACATTTACGTCCCATTTAGGGAATTATCTCGCATGGGGAGAAGTTTGGCATAGTACCTATGCTAGTCAATCCTGCATGGCAGGAGAAGTTTTGTGATGACTCATGTGTTTTTGTGTATCCCGCATAGCGAGAGAAGTTTTTAGGTAGCTCTTATGCTATCCTAGTATTGACCATGGCACAATAGAAATACCCCGTCATGGTCAATACTAATCAAAAGATAAGAAAAACATGCGAGCGTGACTTACAGAAGTACTGCTAATAAAAGACCTTGTTGAGTTCTTGAAGTGGAATGAGAAAAGTGTACTCCTATACGAATTAAG